GGAGGGAGACCTTGTATTCAATCCGGGCGGAAATGGGAAGCCAATGTAATGATTGAAGAATTGGTGTGATGTGTTCGTATTTACGCACTCTCATCAGGATCCTAGCGGCACTATTCTGAATGTGCTGGAGTTTCTGGATGCTCTTGATAGGGATCCCGATGAGAAGAGAGTTGCAGTAGTCCAGTCTGGAGGAGACAAAACATACCACAATCTGGTTACAGGCCAGCTGTATCTGCTAGCTGCTATCATTTGCATTTATTCATGTTTTTTTTTTTTTTTAAATTAATTACCTGTTAACATGGTCAGTAATTCTTGCTAAACTGAAGTTGGGACTGTAAATAATCCTAACGAGTTATTAGCAGTAAATATGCTCATAATAAAATTGAAGTAAATTATATAAACACTCCGTGCATGTGCTCGGTGTTGAACAGCAGCGGAGATACTTAATGAAGTTTTGTATAGTGAAATAGCCCTGATAAGATAAGATGAAGAAACATTGTTGGAATCAGACCTCATAGACCTCCAGGTTCCCCACAATCCCCTCGTCCTCTTGGGGCATCTTCTTGCTGATGGGACTTCATAAATAGACAGATATAAAGACAAGAGAGAAAATGAGCGTGCATCATCCTTGTTATCATCTTGGTAGATATGTCATTACTGTATCAACAGTTTAAGGAGTAGATATGTTAGCTATATTGTTGGAACATGCTCCTTATTTTGTAACCAACTTCATTTTTTTCTTGATCAGACTTCACCTAATACCCTCAAACGCTATTCAGTTAATAAACTAATGACCTCCTCATGTCCTGTCCTGTTTGGCTCCACATGTGGATGACTGCAATTATTTGGGAAAAGCTGTCTGAATTACATTCTCCCTGTCTCCTAAGTGTATTAAATTTCTTTCACTTTTGCATTACGTTATCCAATACCGATTGCACTATACTTTATTTTTACTGGGTCAACCAACATGCTTAACCAGCATGCTGAAATACTGTATAGACTGTTCAGAAACATTAGAGAAGCCGTGTGTGTTTCAGCAGTTTTCAGTCCCGTGTCCTGGAAGGACCTTATTATTCAAGATTTATTGATTACTCCACCGTGATGTGCTTTATCTGCGGGAGCATCAGAACATGGCAGGCTGTACATTTTGCAGCACAGGTATCCCTACAGGAGTTGGACTGAGCAGAGCTGTTGGGTTTGGGGTGTGTTTTCTTGGATCAGTTGTCACTTACGGTTTGCAACTTTCCATGGAGAAGAACATGGAATGAGAATTCTGCTGAATTGGGGGAAGCACCAGACTACAGCCACTGCTTCGACCTGCGGATGATTACGATCATTTAGACCACTGAGCTTCCAGAAAATTTCCAAGAAGTGGCAGGTTATATTTAAGTCTGAAGCTTAGGAAATGATCAGTATTGCAGTGGTGAAGGGAACTTACTTATACAAATTTGAAGAACTGTACTGCAGTACTTTGGTGTTCAGGAAAGCACTGAAGTTTAGACTAATTGTAATCACAGCACACTTGTGTTATTAGGATGCTTTCACACATGGCACAGACTCATTGTTATTATTAGTTATATTGCAGTGTTGGAATATTGGCACATAAATATTTTTTATTCAACGTCAAATCTCCCTATATTTTTACGTTCCACCCGCTGCCACTTCCCATAGACCTACATGTAAATTGTGTGCTGGCAGTAGAGAAAAAATGCACAGTGTGAAAGCACCCATACATTGTATTATTCATGTGGTTTAAGTCTAGAACATGGCACTCTTGGTACTGTCGCAGTGATGAGGTCAGGTGTGTGGACATACGCAGGTCAGCTTGTGTAGCTGGTGCCTTCTCTTCTGCAGCAGCCTTGATTTTCTGAGCTATCTGCTTCCTGGCTTCCTGCTGCTTCTGCCACTGAGGGGGTGAGAGCTTCCAGAGGAACTCCTGACACTTTTGATAGTAATTCAGCATTTCCTGGTACTTGATTTCCCTGGAGAGAGATTGCACTGTGCAGTTAAAAAGGCACAGGTCTTTTGGGGTTGTATGTAAAAATTTGTTTTGTTTTTTTTTGTTTTTTTTCATTGAATATTGCTTTTCTGATCAACAGTTTTGAAGAATGTTCTGTGTAGTGTTTCTGTTCTATTAGTAGCTTACTTTTAACTTTTACAATTTCATTACTGGTCCTCTGGATCTTTTCCCTTGTCTCTAGCATGGCTTTGCTTTCTTTTTCAGCCCTACACCATGAAAGAAATGAATATTCAATGGTTAAAAAACAATCATAATAAACATTAACTGATTCATTTGTGATCTTCACAGAGCCTTTAATAAGCAGCT